GGTCTTAATATGATGAACCACATGATGCTTCGGTTCTGTTCCTCGAAAAGAAGGTTTTAAAAGGTCAGGAAACTGATTTACCAAATTGGTATATGGAGATGCTGGTGTGCGTGTGACCATCAAGTTCAGTGATGATGCACGGCTAATCGTACCAGCAATGTACGTTTTATTGAGCGAGTCTATAAGCTTGGGGCTTATCGGATCAACTAGCAGTTTGTGCTGCTGTAGAAAATCGATACCGAGGATTGGGGATGGAACGTCTGCAATGATGAACGACCAAGTGTAAGTATTCTGCAGACCAAAATCTAAAGTCATTCGTTTACTTCCAAATGTAACAATACTGGACTGGTTAACAGCTTGGAGCGTAACTGCTGGGTCAGGATGTTGACGTTCCTGTGTCGACGGAGGGAGAACACTCACCTCTGCTCCTGTGTCTACTAAGAATGTAGTACCGGTATTTTTATCAGTTACATAAAACAAACGACTGTTAGATCGTAGGTTGCCAACAGTATTTTTTACACATGACGATATATCTTTTGGTTTAGCCTGAAAGTTACAAGGTGAACGGCACCGTCGTGCATTGCTTCCATAACTACGGTGATACCAGCAAATACTATCGCAATGTCGTAACGTGCTAGGGGATCGAGAAAGACGTCGACGAGACGAGCTTCTAGAACGGCTTGGTTGTGTGCGTGTAGTCAGTTTTGCTAACTGACTCAGTAAGGTGTCGACTTTGTGTTCTAGAGTCTGTATTCTATCGTGAGTGTCTGGTATTCTGCTAGTGGAAGCGACAGATTGAGGTGTTGACCTCTCGTACATGCGATCCGCGATTTCGGTGAGCCTTTCTATGTCAATGTCGTCGTCTCCGAAAGCAAGAACCTGCTGGATGTTTGCGGGAAGTCATCGTAGCCATATTTGGTAAAAGAGACGTTTATCGATTTCTCTTCCGGCAACTAGGCTTTGCATATGCCTCATGAGTTGAGATGGGGTTTTATCACCTAGCTCAACATTGCTTAACAGGTGATCGAGTGCTTGCCTATCAGAAAGCGAAGTGCATCGCAGTACCTCTTCCTTCAACCTGTCGTAAGGTGCTTCTGTGCTGGGATGAACGATGTATTGCCGTACCTGCTCGGCGACTTCGTCTGGTAGTACTGTACTCAAAATGCTAAATTTAGCTGTCTGTGACGTGAGCTTATTGCTAGTCAAATAATGTTCCAGTCGTGCAAACCAAAGATGAGGGTCTCTGGGCTTAAAAACTGGTACAGTAAGAGAAATAGTACTAACAGATCCCAGCTCTAAGTTATCAGAGGTATTGGAAGACATGTTACAATTCGTAAAAAATGGTTTAAGAGTAGCAAAATGGCAAAATTTGTGCACAATAAGAATACGGCAAAATAAAAAAGCATACAATGCAGGTGCTTACCACAAATTACTGCAGGTTGTGCGATGAGCAAACACAATAATGGGTTCGAAATGTTTAATAAATATATAGATCCGCGAAAGTTAGAGTTTTAATAATCCAGCAAGTGTAACAACGCGTCGAGGTCAAAAAGTCGTCGTCGTCGGAGTCAGCAATTTGTCGTCGGGCTCACCAATTTGTTGCGTGTTCCATTTGACTAAATTAACGTACACGTATTTCCTAGTACTTCTTCACGTTTATCAATGTGCGCAGACGTTGTGGCTACTCGACGCCCACAACGTAAAATCAGAAGGCACTTGTGAAGAGTGTAATCGTGTATTATAGCCGTAGTCAAATTTCGAAATTGTATCAAGGTAACGTTCAACAGTAAATTGACAAATGTTTACGAAGTACATATAAAATCGGTATGTGTAAACATATAATATGAGTATGCAAATTAGATTAAAATCGTATGTTTATAGTTGGTACAGGGGTACTACAGTTCCCCAGTCTTGTTTATGTTGAATCCCCGCAAAATATTTGCTAGTAGTCCCCTCGACTTAGCTTTTACTACACGATGCTTGTTTAGCTAAATAGGATTCACAGCTGCGCAGTTAGGCTAACAGGAGAATGGCCTCAGCACGCATGTCTTAGTATAAAACTGTCAGTTTCCAACGGGGCTGAAGTGCGGAATTATTTAGTTAATCATGCTTACATGCACTTGAGAGGATAGATATATATAACATGTATGCAAAGTCCCCTTAGGTGGTGGGCGTCTTCACAAATATGTGTCAGGGGGGAATATAGGCAATGTAACAGTATACTGTTCATATCAACCAATCCCTTTTCACGGTTACCTGTACTATATTCACACTCATTCCCTGAGGACCACAGTGGTCTGAACTCTTCGAATCGCACTCCATACCGACCTAAGTACCTCCAGCTTGGCTTTACTGACATCCTTCTACAATGGCCCTTTTGCAGTCAACAGTCCTGATTTCTTGCACATTTTATGTAGTGGATAAACTCGCGATGCAAAATAAAAGCTTTTAGCATCTTCAGCCTGGCCTTGAGGCATATAAATCCATTTAACGAGTGAGACAGGCTCTGGATTGTATGTGGCTCACAGGTTGCCTCTGCTAATACATCAGTGCTGTTGAACGCGCAGCCTTAGCCCTTTTATATTCCCCAAAAATTTGGTCAGTGAGACCACTCGTTAGCCTTATTACCGTCACCTCATGAGAGTCCACGTAATGCTCAATCTGAAGAGTTCTCTCTGCTAAAGACATGTATCTAGCGATCTCACGTGGACGATATGTGGACAACTGCAAACCAATTCACCGATGTGAAGACAATGCAGGAGCTGCTAATTCCTATATAGGTTTAGTTATGGATTTAGGCAGTGCACCTCTATACTTAGCTAAAAGCGGACCTGAGTAGAAACGTTTTCGAGATGAGTTTATGTGAAGGCAGTGGAAGCAAACTCTGGGGCATCGTCGAAAAAATGTAGCTGAATGGTTGGTGGCAGGCAGGAATGACGCACATTGGGTGGTGGCATATGAGCTTTGTCCAGTTAACAAATATTATTATACCAAAAGTTTCAAATGTCCCGCTTTCCAATTTAAATTATTTGGCAGTCGGTGGCATACGAGTTGGAATACTGGCTGGGTTGATTACTGAAGCCGCAAGTAGCGAAAGGTTTATCCTCACTAGTTTACTACTTAAATTTGGAGTTCGGAAAAAACACTAGCGGTTAGTAAATTCCATTCCTTTCCAGACATGCTCAGGACTTCGTCTTTAAGTAAAGAATATCGGTGTTCCGTTCTGCACGGTTACCTAACGCATTGACTTTGTTACTCCTGAGACTTTCCTTATTCATTTGCTCAAACTAAATCATCCTGGCTTCGCAATCTGCTTCAGCCAAAAATAAATAAATACACCATAATCTCCCTTGCATTAACACTTATGATCAGATGGTCATAAGTATCCTATTATTTGGTTACTTGAATAAAATTACCAAAGCTAGTTGAGATGATTCCATTTAGAGGAAATGTTGCTCAACTTGGTGTATAAGTGGCCTCGACATTACGAACATTCACTCAGCAAACCATTTATTCCACTTCCGAATTCCAGTTGCTCGGAATCTTCTCACAAGTTTTCTTAGCGCTCATTGGAGTAAACAGTCGAGAGGACAGATATTTCACACTGGGAACTCCCAAATGCCAGCTGCGGTTTCAGTACACCGACAGGCAGTAGCCAAGATGCTTTTAGGTTTATGCACACCAATACAAACATATATGTTAAACCTATGTGGGCACCTTGACATGATTATAGGCAATAAATTGTGCATCAAACGCTTTCAGTAAATATTATGGGAACACTCTATGTTTTGTCGAACAAAATTATTTATGGTGGAATAGTACTTTACCACTGCACTTGGATCATGTAATTATGTCAGCGTACTTTTGCGCCAATCTACGGATATCTTGGGCCCTGACACTTAGTGTACTGGAACTGTAGCAGATATCTCGAATTTCCCGGTGGGAGAGAGACGTCCTTCGGAATTTCGTGGCTCACATAGGCTCACCAGGTGGAGGGGCTTTAATTTACATTGAGGCGAATTCATGGTTTATAAATGGGTAAATTCGTTGCTGAAAGTATGAATTTTTTAGACCAGCATTTCTTCAGAATAGCTGAACAAACCTGTGAAATTCGGTGAGTGTTGTTGTCGGTTATTAGAAAAAAAGAGTAAACATAACAATTTGTGTAAGATCAGCATAAAAAAGAGAAATATAAGAGATTGGAAAGGTTATGAATATATGTGAGTGCAAAATAAAGCTTTAAAAATATCACAAATGTTGCGAAACTGTCCGATAATATCATTAAGAGACTGTTCACAGAATAAACTACTTTCCCATCAGACTTAATGGATGTGTACTTTTCATTTATCTGACCAACTCTGGAAGCTAACAGCCTGTAAAATGATGACATTTTCATCCCTATATTTTAACATGTAACTGACTCTTTAAGCAGTAGAGTATGATCACGAGTTTGTTCCCGTCATTTGATGGTAACTCCTTTTGGTTTATACAGGGTAGAAACATAGTGTCATCCCTGTAGTGTGCAGATTTTTGGGATAATTTGTATTGCACACTGTTTCGCGGGTCATTTTCCGGCCACACACAGTTCTGCCATGGTTAAGAGCATATACGTCTAGCTTTTTGAGTAGGTCATCATACGTCGAATGTTTCAACCTGATGACAAGCTCAGATGGTGTTTCAAGGACATCCTCTAGGTGATTGTCTGTCTTCAGCTGTGGCATTTTAATAACTTTTACTCTTTCATGAAGTAAATTTCCTGCGATTCAAAATGTCTTAAAATCCATTGTGTAAGCGATTACCAACTAACAGTGTCATTAATACCAATTAGAGAAACCAATAATCAAATGTCCATTGCAATTAACATAATCTTATCAAGCATGTGATTATGATTCCTGCCCGAAGATTTTATAACTATTTCTAGCAAATGAAGAATGCCATTAAAGAAACTATTTGGCTTAAACTTAGACGCTACAAATAAATTTAATTACTTCGACATTGGACTTAGAACAACCTTGGCCCATCTTTAAGCTTGTCGCTACTACATTTACGTCTTTCATTTTATTGTCTATGTACATAAGGTGAGTTCCATATTTACATTGTCAAAGTTTTAATTCCTGCTAGAATTGCACATTTTTTCTGTGGTTGGATTATAATGAAACTGTAATTTAGGTCTGCATACGTATGATTTTCATTATTTTAGAAAATAGTTCGAACTGACAATATTTCCTCAAGCTGGTCAGTAACATACAAATTATTTAACGTCAAAATTTTTAAATGTATTAATAGCCATTTCGTCTTAAAGTTCTAAATAAGTTCCTGAAACAATAATCTTGCGATTCCAGTGCATACATACTCATATATCCTAGCTAGCAACGATTTCAGGCGCATTGCAGATTTTTGGGCAGACTATATACTAGGGACAATCACTAAGTTTCATTTAGGAGTTATAAATCAGGTATATTTCCAAACCATGTTGATATGAAGCTGTCAGGTGAAACCTGACCTTTAATACCAGGGGAACATTTTCGAAAGCTAACAACACTCATGTCAGTTCACCAGTGAGCATTATCACCGCGTCATAATAATAGGAACTTCGTGCAGTGGAATCTCTCGTATCTTTTTAGAGACACATTTATTTTAGCTTTTATTCAATCCACTTCTGCAATGCATGTTCCTGCTCTGGATCGTTGTCCTTCAAAGACATACTCCGTAATGTCGCCATATTAATGCAGGGGTTAATGTCTAGGGGTGAATTCTACATTATGGAGATTTTATTTTGATAAATTGTGAATTTTGCAGACGATAATAGAAAAACAATACTTTTCTAATAATGTTTCCTGGAACATATATGCCATATTTTGGAAACTGAGACGGACAAAAGTTTATCCTCTGTAACTAAATTGCTTGTTTAAATCTTCTATCCTCCTAAAACTAACTCATCATGAATCATCGCGATCCATTCGTAGCTACAGAACCGAATCTTTATTTTGCAAAATAATGTACAGTAATGGCTAAATACAAGATCCTTGCATTGGAATTCTGATTTGAAGTTGTTCGTTTTCTGCTTCCCTTGTCTTCCTTCCGAGCTTTCTGTGTTTCACAGTGATCTTCATTCCTCCTCTTCACAAATTCAGCCCCCCACTTCAAAGAAAACAATACGCTAGGCAATATTGTACTTGTAAATGCCTGTAAGCAGTGTATTGTACACTCATAACCCCGTCAGATTGTCTCGATCAGAGGTGCTCTAACCTTCTTCTTCGTGCTGACTTTATCTGGTGAACCCATAGCAACACCATTTGTCTGTCTCAATAAATCCCCTTTAAATGTAAAATAATTTCTTTCTAGACAGAATTTTAAGCTTTTAATTATTTCACTGGTGTCTGGTGGACATCTTTGTGATACCGTTGTATCTGATTCTAGTAAACTGGAAATGATATGAAGACTTTCGGTAATAGGGATACTAGTGCATAATGAGTTAATATCATAGCTTGCCATAATGTCTTTATCAATTTCTTGGTGTCCTATTTGGGATTTGAAATCATATGAATTCCTGACAATATTTTGAGCGTCCTTTTCCAGTGGATGTAGTATCGAAAATAAGTATTTAGAGAGGTTGTATGTCGGTGAGTTGGTGAAATCTACTACTGGTCTTAATGGAACTGTGGGTTTATGTATCTTTGGTTGACGGCATATACTTGGTTTTGGTTAAAACCAGAGAGACTTCCTAATTCTGGATTTTATTTCGTGAAGCAGTCTGTTTTTTGAATTCGGCAGATTTCCTCTTTTCTTCAATGAGTAAGTAGGGTCCTTCAGATAGGTGTTCAGTTGCCTTCTTTTCATAATCAGTCCTGTTCATTATCACAGTGACGTTTCCCTTGTCGGCTTTAGTTAAAACGATGCTTTTGTCTTTCTTCAAATTTCGTAGGGCTTCATATTCTTGTTTGGTGAGATTAGATGGTGTGTTTCGTAGTGTCACTAATATGTATGCTATCTTTTGGCGAACAGATTGTGTTTCTTCATTGGTGAACTGTTATAGAGCAGGTTCGATCATAGGTGGTGCTATTTCTTGAACCGATCACGGCTTTCTGGTGATATTGATATTCAGACCTTTCTGTAGTAGTGAGATTTCATTTTCGGTTAGTATCTTGTCTGACATGTTATGTATGGCTCTAATATTCTTTGTATTATTTGTTGGAATTTTCTTTGGTTGTTTCTTTTCTTCCAGTTTCAAGAATTTTTGTATTTGTCTTCTTTTGGTGACATTATTAAAAAATGTGATTCTTGTTCATTAAACAATTTTTGAAAGGATTCATAGATATGGCTTGTAACAAGCATTGTTAAACAGTCGTCGATATTTTTCATTCTCGCTCTATAAGATTCACGTTTGATGTTACAGTTATGTATTCTTTCACGTAAAAATACTTTGGAGGTATGATTTGCAGCAAGTATGGATTTGTGCGAATATTCCAGAGGTTTAACTCGTATTGACTTAGGAATAATTCCACTTTGTAGACAGCGTACGTTGAAAATACGATGATTATAGAAGTTACATTTATGCTTCGATAGAGTAATCCGGTTTTTAATTAAGTTATATATGTCTAAACCAAGTTCACTTTTAACGGTTAGAAAAAATTTGGGCATTGGGTATATGATATTCATTACAATAAAGGTTTTTGTATTTCCCAATGAATGAAAAACAAAACGATATTGTTTTTACTGAGGTTTCGCTATTTAATGCTAATAGCTTTATCAAAGCACTAATAAACCGGAATTTACAAAATCTCAGCATATATATAACAAACAGTTAGGGGGTGAGAAAATAGACTTAGGTCGAGTTAAAGGGACATATTGAAAGTAAAAATAGCAATGAAGATCACTAAACCAAATAACAAAGGTAATAGTACGTCTGTTATGATATCAAAAATAAACTGGTATATATATGTGCGTCGGTGGCACAGTGGTTAGGATTCTCGCCGACTATGCACATGCTCCGGGGTTCGATCCCCTGCCGACGCACACCTGATATCTGTGGTTGGCCTGCAAAATTTGGGCTACCGATATCACATGCTGAAAATTCCATACCTGTACCAAAAAATACGGTGTGAAATCAAGCTGTAATAAAAAAATCAAATATATATATCCTGTGATAAAGTCTTTCTTCATATTTTATATATTTTTTAGTTACTGAATGGAATCGAATAATCAACAAACAAATGTTAAGAAGCCTATCCGCGTATGGGTTGATGGATGGTAGTTGTCCGCCATTTCATTTGAATTAAAGATAATCTTCACTTCTTTGAATAGTTTTGACCTAGTTCATTTCGGTCATGCAAATGCTCTTCGTCAAGCTAAAGCTCTTGGTGATCAACTTATTGTCGGTGTTCATTCAGATAGTAAGTCTACCTCGGCTTATATCTCTACTTTAAAATTAGTTATATATGATGATCTTGGAAAATAGAGCGAATTCTATTTTTAAGTGCTTTTCGATATTCCCTGTTGATTCATAGGACTGATATGTGTCAGCTCTTAGTGTATGGATGTTTCAACAATGTCTGAGGATTAACATTGATGTTATTTGGTGGGTGGGTGTTGACTAGCAGTGGAATCCTGGATGCACATTTCATCTTATTTAGGATTCGTTAGCTGGATGTGCCCCCACAATCCCTAGTGAGTGGTGTTACCACTGAGAGTGAAACATTCCAGTTCAACCTGTCTGTCAGTCTGTCTGGTTTCAGTATAGAACTTTGCACTAGTGTGCAGCAGTTCAAGTCGCCACAATTCACTCAGCACACAAAACCAGAGAAGAAAGTAAAAAGAAATGCAAAGTAGAGACAGTAAACAGAGATATGAGGCAAAAAGAATAGTAATATCGAAAAACAATATAGTTTTTTAATTGGAAATTATAAGTCACAAAGAGTGGATACATCTGTGCCATTGATAATGAGGATTTTGAGCCATATCACCGGATGTCTCCAGCCATTGGTGTTTACCGTCCCGAGGATCCTAACCAGGAAGTCTACATCTTCCTACGTCATCGGCTTAAGCTAGCTGTTGCGGATTTCATTGACTGATGAGGCCATGTTTTGGTTTGACCTCCACTAGCTAACTCTTTTCCAACCTGACCCTATGTCAGCTAACAATGCCTGTTGTCGAGGAAGGCGATGACTAGGCATACGTAACACATGTCCTAAACATCTCAGTCGATGTGGCTTCACATCAACCTCGTGTATTGATTTCCCCTCCAACTTACCTAACAATCGACTGATGCCTAACCTCAATATTGCTTACCTTATTATACTACTTCACTTGAGAGATAGAACACAGGCACTTATGATCAAAGACAGTTAGGTAGTCTTTTCATGCCTTCCACTCTCAATGGTTATTTCTCAGTCACAGCCATAAAGGAGGACAGAGCGAAGTGACTGCTGAGCAGTACACAGGCCTTTTGGTCGTTAGCCGGATATCACGTCTACACCAGACGGCGGCGTAAACTGGCATATGCGAAACTAGTCCTCTGTATGCGTGCTGAGATTTCGTCGGTGATCAAGCCGTTGCGGATGATGCAGCTTCCCCAAAAAGTGAAGTGGTCAGCACGCTCCAGTTCAACCAATCAATAGAAAAATCAAAACTGACTTGAAAAAAATAACAGTTGACACCCGTAGCACAAGAAGTGGTCCTCATGGCTCAAATGGTATACAGGATAACGCTTTGGCGTATGAAATGATGGGTAATGGGTTCGAGTCTCAGTAGGGACACTAGTACTCAATGAGAATGGTAGGTACATCCAGATGATGAGTCCCAAATAAGACTAAACGTGCATCCTGGATTCTACTGATAGTCATAATTCTCCATAGAACCAATCCTAGTCACCTTTATGACCAGTTAATATCAATGCACTATTGTTTTTGTTTGATAGTATTGACCTTACTTAATGAAAACAACATGTATTTGCTGTCCAGTTGTCCCGTTTCCTAGACCAATTCAGCGAGAACTTACATTAGATAAGTTAATTCTCAGGATTATTTGCCATTTGACAAAAGTCACGATAACAGATGGACTGATAGGAACTAGCATAAAATAGTATATCATCCTTTCTCATAAATCTTTTGATGGAGTTACTATTATTAATCCATTATCTCTCACGCATATTATGATTTCTTGTGTGAGATCAATACATCATATTTTGTCTTATCTTGGTCTTTGTCGGGTCGCAAACCAATCAGAATATTTTAGTGTGGTTGTGTTCTCTGAGCTGGATAGTTAATCTGTCAAGCTTTCATTGCCCTACTTACTAGGCAACATCTTCAGAGCATACTTCAATTTGAAGTTGAAGTGAACTTTTAGATTTCTCCACGAGTTTATTAATCATCTCTCCTGGTGACATTGGATGTGATTGGTTGTTTTTGTGCGTTTTCACACCGTCTAGGCTACTTGTATTGGAACTGATTGTTCCTTTGACTTAAACTTTGACCATTTGTGTGTGAGGTTTGATTCTTATCGGTTGATAAATTTTGTCTATCTCGATGTGTGTATTGATTGATGATTCACTGGAATACCAGGCTTCTAAAAGTTCTCTGGCTGGCATTCTTGGTGTTTCCTCTGTCTAATATTTGAACGTTGTTCCAGTCGAATTGATGCCCGTGGTTGGCTGTGTGTAGCCGGGAGGTATGAGGAAGTGGATGTGATGTCTTTTGACGGCTAGTTTATGTTCATGGATACGGAGACGGAGGGGACGTCCGCTTTGGTCAATGTAGTGTTTTTCGCAGTTGTTACAATTTATTTTGTAGATGATGTCGGTTTTATCTTCTTTCGTTGTTGAGTCTTTTGGTTGACATAGAACTGAATGAAGTGATTTTGTTGATTTGTGTGCGACGTCAATTCGTAAATGTCTGAAGAGTGTTGCAGTGATTTCTGAAATGTCCTTTATATATGGTAGGGCGATTTTCTTTGTGCTTTCCTTGAGGGCCTTTGATTTGATAGGTTGGCTTGGGGGTATATGTCTTTTGATGAAATTCCGTGGATATCCATTCTTTTGGAAGACGTCCATGAGATATCTTTCTTCAATTTTCCTTAAGGTGGGAGTGCTGCAATGAGTCCTGGCCCTCTTGAATAGTGTTTGTATACAATTCCTTTTGTGTGTTATTGGATTGTTGCTGTGGTAATTCAGTGCAAATATTAGACAGAGGAAACATCAAGAATGCTAGAGAACTTTTAGAAGCCTGGTATTCCAGTGAATCATCAACCAATAGACACATCGAGATAGACAAAATTTACCAACCGATAAGAAGGAAATCTCACACACGAAGGGTCAACGTTCAAGTCAAGGAAAAAATCAGTTTCAATACAAGTAGGCTATAAGGTATGAAAACACACAAAAACTACTAATCACATTCAGGGTCACTCAGTAGAAGAGATGACTAATAAACTCGTGGAGAAATCGAAAAGCTCACTTCAACTTCAAATTGAAATATTCGCTGAAGATGTTGCCTAGTAAGTACGGCAATGAAAGCTCCACAAATTAACTATCCAGCTCAGAGAACAAAACCACAGCAATATCATCCACCTGAGCTATAAATCTTCTCCATTATATCTCAATATTGCCAGTCAACTAGGACAATCTATTCCCATGGCTGTGAGCCGACTTAATTATGATAAAGATAGTGTATAAACCTGTTGTGTTGTTTCCTTATAGATATGTGCAGTATCTTACAGTCACAGCCATAGGCCAGTCTTTATCTTCTGATATTTGCGTGGCTCAGCGCAGTGGAAGGTGGTACCTCGGACAAACAGGCATATTAGCGAGTCAGTCGAGTTCATTACCGTTATAACAATTAGCAGCGCAGATATAACGTGGACAATAGAAAATCTATAATCTATTATAGTTTTCACATAATAATTAATAATAATGATAATAGTAATTTTTTCTCCTTTATTTCATTAGAGGAAATTACAAAACATAAAGGTCCACCAGTTTTTCATGAACAAGAACGTTATCGACTTATCAAGGCTATGAAATGGGTAGATGAGGTAGGTCAAAGTATATGTATTTACAAAATTAACAACAAAATTGATGTTGTGAAACCTTTTTAATTTTGATATTCCGCACTTGATGAATAAAAGTTTCCGGTGTTTAAGTCTCGCGACCAATTTAAACTTAAAGCGCTACCAACTCCCAATCAGCGAATGACCTTAAGTGCACTAATCACATTAAGGAGACGTTTCTGGTTATGGGAAACATATATTTATGAAAATAAGATGCATAAAACTGTTACGCAGGGTACCTTTCTCTGATATGTGATAAAAACATCTCCCAGTTTAACATAGGAGTATCAGCTGAAAAGTTACACTATATTCTGTACAAAAATATTCATCTAAATGACTATAGATGACATCGCTTTACGATACATGAATGGCTCTAATCCTGTTTTTTAACCTTCCCCAAAAGCCTTCGATAGAATTGGTGTTTGTCCCTGTAATGTGATGCATAAAATCATTAGAATGGTTCACTCTGTGGTGAATATATATTCAAGGGACGACAAGGAGTCATAACCTTTTCACTTATCTGTGTGTATTATAGATCCCTGTTTCACCAGTTAAATGATAATAGATAATAAAGTATTTAACTTTTATATGCTTTCCTATTGAGGAACCCTTTATGTAGAGAGGTATCGTATAAACCAATTACCCAAACGTTATTCGCTCGTTCTCAACCACGGTTGTATTTTTTTTTGTAATAAGACAGTTTCATCTACATGTGCGACAAAACCTTCTCCTCCCAATAAGGAGGTAAGCCTCTCCATTTTCTAGGATGTGATATCCCTACACTGCTTGTACCAATGGACTGTTGATACGAGACTATTTTCAGTTTCAGCAGCTACACGTCTCACAAGCTGCTCTAAAACCCAGTCATTACAAATATACAAAATCTGGGTTAAGGACAAGTAGGACCTGGCAAGAAATGTTCCTGCGAAATATTAGAATCATTCAGCTTACCTTCGCTAACACTAACTCATCTCAAACAAATTGCACAACGATGGATGTATCCATCAATCAACCTGCTGAAGCTTATTATACTCATGACACCTCCACATGAAGGAATCCTTTCCTGTCTAATCAACCCCACATCTAAGCAATACTAGAAGACACTTGATCCTCACCAAATTGCAAACGCAACTGTGTTAGAGTAGGCATCTGACTCCAATCAAGCGGAGTTGAAGCTTCATCTCACTTGGGTGAAACTCATTGAACCATTCAAGATTAATGGTACGAACTCACTCTATTGGTGGTAGTTAGTGGTGCTTAAAGTTTAACTTGGCCAGTCTCGCTTATATTGAGCTGGTTTTGTTCACAACTTGTATTGGTAATCATTTGTTTGTTTTAGAGATATTCTAGAAGATAAAACAGAGTGAAATTGAGTAAAGATAAGTTTCTCATCTCTTTCTACAATTATATGTACACATATTTAAAAAAATTATCCTTATCGGCAATGTTAATGCTTTCTAAATGAATATCGAATTCAAGTGTTGGTTTGTAGGGATTTGATTGGTTACAGGATTTTCATCATGAGCTGACATCAGTTAGAGAACCACTGGAAAACCTGGGAGCACTGGACATCTGTTTCGTCTTAGTCGGGGACTCTTCATCAGTACACACCCACCGGGATTCGAACCCAGGACCTTCCGGTTACAAGGCGAGCTAGCTCGTATACCATTAAGCCACTGGGACCCGATCCAATGGCCCATGAATTCTAACTTGTGCCAATTCACGACATAGCGTGACCGCTAGCCAATGTCTTCGGCGAGTATTCGTCCTCACACCCAACCTGCTGCACCCTACTGGTCACGACTTCTCACTAGAACCCCATGTAACTACCTACCTGAATAGGACCAGTCGCCAGTGAGCATCTCATTGCTATTCATGTGTTGGTTTGTAGGGATTTGAATTGTTAAGATCAGTAGTGCATTACCAGTAGTATATGCATGTTTAAGTGATAATAAACATAAAAATAAAATACTAAATTAAATATCAGATGAAATTAAAAAGAAAATATACATATGCGCTAATGAAAGAAAGTTGAAATAATGATGGTCAAGGTGTGACGACAGAAGACAAGGGCCAAGCAACAGATCGTTTATTGAAGAAATCAACAGATATTTACATATTTTTATGTAAATTATTATTCGTTATTATTAGCAGAGAAACACTGTCTTCTGATTGGTTGTTTTCTCACTGGAAGTTATTCCGTCATCTATTTGTGCCCGTTTCTTTGAAGGTCAGACCATATATCTGCTAACCGTGTCCGCCCACGCAAAGTCTGCTGTGATTGGTTGTCGAGTTAGTCTTTGTTCTTGTTTTTTTCTCATGACCAAGATTTGGGACGTAAACATTGACGTAAATTGCTGTCTACCAATTTTGGCTAGCAGAGACAGCTCACACCACAAAGGTAGAGGGAAAGTGTCTCAGTGAACTTCTCTCCAAGTTGGTCTTCTTAATATGGATTCCGATAGTTTCAGCTATATATGTACAAGGTGATCTAGTAAGGCAAAAGTTTAATGGGCTTTGTTAATGCCAACTTTATAGCCAAATATCTACAAGGTGAGCACAAGAACCCAACCTCGAAAAGACTGTCTATCCTTCTTGTTTAACTAGGTAGTCTGATGTTTGGAAATCCGATGATGATGAACATGTCCAGTTGTGTAGACCCAATGTAACGGGCCCGTCAGGAGCAGTCATATTGTAACAACAGAAAACAAGGGCCAGGCAACAGATCGTTTATTAAGGAAATCAAAGCATATTTACATATTTTCATGTACATTGTTATAGTTTAGTTAAGCAAACAAACACAGTCTTCTGATTGGTTGTTTCTCACTGAAAGTTAATCTTTCATCTCTTTGTGACTGTTTCTTGAGTGTCAGATCATCTATATGTTAACTGTATCCGCCTACGCAAAGTCTGTTGTGGTCGGTATTGAATCAGTCTTTGTTCATATTTTCTCACGACAAATCTTGAGAACGTAAACATTGACGTAAATTACTGTCTACCAATTTGGCTAGTAGACAGCTCTCACCACAATATTAGTCGACATTACTTGATTGTAAAAATCTGACACTTTCTCCTTCTCCCCTCCCCCTCTAAGCCTTTTACAAGTTATGATTTGTTTGTAACTATCTTTAGTTGTTGTTGTCACGTATCTCTAACCACTGATCACCTTCCTCGCCAACAGGCAATGTTAGCTGACTAACATAGGATGGATCAGGTTGGTGGTCAAACCTGGTCAAACATGGCTTCATCAGTCAATGAATTAAATCCATAACAGTTAGTTTGAGCCAGACACGTAGGGAGGGAGGTGTATAGACTTCCTGACTAACTGACTGACTGGTTGGGGTCCTCAGGATGGTGAAAACCAATAACGGCGTCTGTAGACAATTGGTGATATGGTTAAAAATTATTGTCGTCAATGGTTGGTGCAGATGCATCCACTCCTTGTGACTTATCATGTCCAATAAAATTCTTTTGTTTTTCTATATATTACTATTCTTTTTGCTTCCTATTTCTGTCTTTACTTTCTTCTCTTGCTGTGTGTATGCTACAAGAAGGCAGTGTGGCGACTCGAATTGCTGCACATCGATGCAGAGTAGTTCTATGTTGGAACTAGTCAGTCAGTCAGTCATATTCAATATTCAGTCTCTGGTTCACTGGTAGAACTCGGGCCATCTACGCATGTGGTCCGGGGCTGGATCCCCAGTCGGCATACTCCTAAACCTCCTCTTTAAGCCGGTAGAGAGGGAAGGTTAGTCATTAGGCTAGAAACCCCACTCTGTAAAATTAAACCATTGCTACTGGAACTCCAGATCTCTAGCTTGAACCCCTATGTTCCACTAGGAATGTAAAGAAATAAAATTAAAATTAAATAAATAATTATATTTTTAAAATGTATATTACCACCAATGCATGTGTTCGGGAGTAGTTAAAGATAAACTGCCTAATTTCGCCTCTGTCATGTGTATCTACCAATTTAACTGCTCCTGTGGAGTGAGCCAGTTAGTTGCATAGGCCGTACAATTAGGTGTGTTTCTCGTCGGATTTCCGAACATCACCCTACATAGTGGTTCAGTAAAGGACAAACAAAATCTATTCGTAGCGGCGCTATTCTATCTCATCTTGTGGATACAGGCTGCCTTCGAAGTCATTTACTGCATACCAACAAATCTTAACTTCGCCATAAGAGTTCGATTACTAAATATTGCTGAGACTGGCTGTTGAGATCCACATTAAGAAGCCTAATATATGCGTCCAAAAGAAGCTAGTTCAGACATTATCCTTACCACCCTGGCCATCTAGGTTCGAATGATCCTCAACTTTTGTGGAAATTTCCTTAATTTTACTTGATATTCTATTTGCCATTATATCTTTATTGTTATTATTCTTATAATATAAGCATCTTTAATGAACTGTAATTCCATTGTGATCTTAATCTACAAATCGATATTATTTAAGGAAACACTAATATTGTTATTGACTACTATTCTGGAATATTCTATGTATATATTTATATACATAGAATTGTAGAGCCAGAGGAGGAAATTATCGAAAAGGATTTTCTTTGCTGGCTCAATTATTTTGTGTTTTATAGAGATGTCTGAATGAATATTTTCGCTGTATTAATTTATGTGTAAAACTTGGACACTGTGGTAGTAAGTAATTCCGTATTAGTTTGTTTACTATATATATATTAGATATATAATAATGTTTCACTGTGTGATATATCTAATAAACAAACTAATATGGCACTCCATATCATGTGTAAAAATACTGACGCTATCAAATAAAGATTACTCTTTGAATATAATAATAATAATGATAATTATAATAATATCAGTAGCCTTATTATGCACAATGAGTTTACACAATATACACAATTTTCAGCGTAGTATATTGCATAATAATGTTTACTCTTGATCCACGAGTTTCAAGTAAAACACAGTGATGTTACATCTAAAGAATAAAATCAAACATTCACAATCAAACATTACTATGACAATGTTTGACTGTGAAGGGAGTGCCAAGAAAGTACATTGCACTAATCAAGGCACTCTACTCAAACTCACGTAGCCATGTAAGGGCTTATGGGGAATTGTCATCTAAATTGATAACAACCAGTGGTGCCCGTCAAGGATGTCCACTTTCCCCTTTTCTGTTTAACTTCATCATAGATATGCTAATAGAAGTATCCTTAACTGAACTTAACGACTTAGGAATCGACTTGTTACCAGGGAATAGTCTTATGGACTTAGAATATGCAGATGACATAGTCCTGTTAGGGGAGGATGTTGACAAAATGCAGAGTCTTCTGAACACCTTGAGCAGCAATCTTCGTATATTTGGCATGCGATTCGCCCCTGTAAAATGTAAGATGCTGCTACAGGACTGGACTACGTCTACCCCTAGCTTAGTGATAGGGAGTGAAGCGATAGAACATATTGACCACTTCACCTATTTGGGAAGTTGTATCAGCATCAACGGACTGATTGGTGACGAAATCTCAGCACGGATCCAAAAAGCTCGACCTGCTTTGGCTAACTTACACCATCTCTGGCGTAGGCGTGACATCCGGCTATCAACCAGTGGACGTGTGTACTGCTCAGCAGTTCGCTCTGTCCTTCTCTATGGCTCTGAAACATGGCCAATACGAGTTGAAGACATGAAAAGGTTGACTGTTTTTGATCATAGATGTCTACGATCTCTTTCTCACGTTAAGTGGCATAATAAGGTAAGTAATGTTGACGTTAGGCGTAGAGTGTTGGGCAAAGAGGGAAAATCAATCGAAGAGGATATAAAGTTACATAGATTGAGATGGCTGTTCTCAATAGCGCAGATGTATCCACTCTTTGTGACTTATAATTTCCAATTAAAAAACTATATTGTTCTTCGATATTACTATTCTTTTTTGCCTCATATCTCTGTTTACTGTCTCTATTTTGCATTTCTTTTTACTTTCTTCGCTGGCTTTGTGTGGTGAGTGAATTGTGGCGACTCGAACTGCTGCACACTGTGTCTGTCTGTCTGGATTCAACATAGAACTTGGCACCCAAGCGCAGCAGTTCGAGTTGCCACGTTTCAAATAGCACACAAAGGTAGACAAGAAAATGAGTGAAGAGAATCAGTAGAGTTTTGACAAGTATAATAGTGGAACAGAATGAGTAATGGTAGAAAGGAATATGAAAGATTACAGAGACTGAATACATCTGCGTAAGCCACTGACAACGATTTTGAGCCATGCCACCTATTGTCTCCAGCCATTGATTCTTAGAGTCCCAAGGGCGGGCCCCAACCCGGAAGTCTGCATCTCCCTACCTGACTCAGTTTAACTGTCAAGGATTTCATGGATTGATGAGGCCATGTTTTGTTTGGCCACCACTTACTCTTTTCCAACCTGCACTACTTATATCAGCTAGTAATGCCCGTCGGGGGAGGTGATGGTCTATTTCGTCCTAGTTTGGGACTCTTCATCAGTACGCACCCCCGGGGTTTTCCAGTGGTTCTCTAACTGATTTCAGCTCACAATGAAATCTTCCAAGAAATCAAACAAACTCCCTACAAAAACAATACTTGAAAATCAAAATATATAGTCAAAAATTGTTTCACATAAATTGAAGTCAGTTTGTTTGAAGTTCACTTGTGGATGGACTTTTGTACCAGCAGAAATATGTAAACAGTCATCACATGTATTTGTAATGACTAGTGTCAAATCGTAATTGTGTACATGTTTTTTTCTGTATTAGTGTGTATGTTATTCGTCATATGGAAAACACGTCAATTCACATGTGATAAACATGATAATACATGTAATAATAATAATAGTAATAATTTAAAACAGTTAGTCCCTTTTATAAATTTGTATAGTGTTGTTAGAAGACGGAGATTATCTGATCGAGATGAACCATAAGATTGATGTTAACTCAGCTTTAAAGGTCATCTATAATGAAAATGGTCAAGGGCGCTTATTGAAATACGCTGAGGCTATGGTTGCTCATAAACTTAAGCACCCCACCCTACCCCGCTAATTTGTATTCCAAAACAGTTAATTATTACTCTAAACTCCATTATAGATAAGATTTTATTTTGATGAAGTCTCACACATTGTAGTGTTATACAGTAATATTAACTGAAGACCACATTTCGAACACTAACTATTGCCACTCATAATCATATCAAGGTACTCACTCACACAACTTTCTTGCTTCATTTATATACATGAGTGAAATTGATGATTAGACATTTGAATACAAATCAATATAAGATAAAGTACATTCAGAAATAATAATATGAGTGTTATCAATCAAACACAATCAGATGGGAAATGAGACGAGTGTTTTCATAGTCAAAATAAGTAACTTGCTAGAATGTTATGATGTACGTGAATTGAAATAGAATACAATTTAAGATTATTTATTATCCTCGTCTGATTTGACTGACTGACTGGTGGTAATAATATCTTCCATGCATATCTCTGGTATTTACGTTGAGTTACTTCTATTGCATGTGTTGAATGAAGACTCAGTGAACCAGGAATAATTAATCAATCTCTTTCTCCACTAACCTGTATTACTCTTTAGGATTTTAACTCTGTCCCACTCACCCTATTGTGCGATTGTGTGTATTTGCATTGAGTCATTTCTGTTGCATGTGTTAGCTGTAGATTCACTCGATGAACGAGGGTTCAGTAATCAACCTGTCTCGCTCTCCAGCTATCTATGTAACAACAGAAGACAAGGGCCAGGCAACAGATCGTTTATTAAGGAAATCAACACATGTTGATAGATTTTCATGTACATTACTATAGATTATTGTTAGCAGAAAAACACAGTCTTCTGATTGGTTGTTTCCCTGCTGAAGGTTATTCTGTCATCTCTTTGTGGCTGTTTCTTCAATGTCAGATAATCTCTCTGCTAATTGTGTCCGCCTACGCAATGTCTGCTGATTGCTTGTTGAGTCAGTCTTTGTTCTTGTTTTTTTCTCATGGCCAATATTTGGGACATAAACATTGACGTCAATTACTGTTTACCAATTTGGCTAGCAGCCAGCTCTCACCACACCAATATTACTTCTTAGAATTTTAACCCTCTCCCACCCTATTGTGTGTTAACGCATACAGTGCAATTGCTACTGCGTCGGTGGCACAGTGGTTAGGACTCTCGCCGACCATGCACATGGTCCGGGGTTCGAACCCCTGCCGACGCACACCCGATATCTATGGTCGGCCTGTGAAATTTGGGCTACCGATATCCATGCTGAAAATTCCATACTTGTACTGAAAATACGGTGGTGAGAGCTATCTACTAGCCAAATTGGTAGACAGTAATTTACGTCAATGTTTACGTTCTCAAGATTTGTCGTGAGAAAGTATGAACAAAGACTGACTCAACAAGCAATCACAGCAGACTTTGCGTAGGCGGATACAGTTAACATATAAATGATCTGACATTCAAGAAACAGTCACAAAAAGATGAAAGATTAAATTTAAGTGAGAAACAACCAATCAGAAGACTGTGTTGTTTGCTTAACTAATCTATAATAATGTAAATGAAAATATATAAATATGCTTTGATTTCCTTAATAAACGATCTGTTGCCTGGCCCTTGTCTTCTGTTGTTACAATATTACTGTATAACACTACACTGTGTGACACTTCATCAAAATCAAATCTTATCTATAATGGAATTATACTCTACCACCACAGTGTCCAAGTTTTATACTTATCTCAATAAGTAAATGTGTGAGGGATCTGATTGTTCGAAATGTATAGCACAGATAGCACATCAGTACATTTTATCTCAGATAATCTCTGTCTTTTAATAACATTATGCAAATATTAATAGTAATAATAATAATATAAAAAATACTTATTTTACTTTTTTACCTATAGGTTGTAGAAGATGCACCATACTTCACTTACTTAGAAACATTGGATAAATATTCATGTGATTTCTGTGTACATGGAGGTATGTGGGATTGTTTCTTGTAAACAAACAAACCGAGAGAACATCTCGTGATGTTGGTGGTGGTTGTGGTGGTCCTATTCTATGTTTTGAGTAAATTCTTGTTATTGCACGCAAATTTTTTTATTCTAATTATTGACTATTTTAATTGTCCTCATCATAACACTATTTATTTCGGATAATTAGAGTGTAGTAAATTAGCAACAGTCTGAAAGGATTTCACTTTATTCTTAAATGTTTATTTGGTGGGTGACCTGTAGTGATGATTTGCAGGCCTGTATCCCTTGCTTTTTCGTCCGTCTGAGTCACAGACGGAACGGATAAAGCTATTAGAATCGGCAAGGCAAGATACTCACTCCTTCATCAACGTGAAACCAGCTTACAAATCTTCTCCACTCAGCCGGGCAGCATGAAAAACAAGAATCGCTCCTTTGTTAGCCGTGTGTAATCGTGATTTATGCGTGCACTATCATTGTAACTCGACTGGACAGTTTTTGATTGGTTTATTTATGGCTTAATTTTCTGAGGGATAACAACAAAGTCACACAGCAAATCAGATTTGTTTATTTATTTATTTATTTAATGCATAAATTCCTGAGGTTGTAAAAATATGATATATACTGTGTATTTCGCTCAATAAATGTTGTTGTTATTGTCGTCGTCGTCGTCGTCACCGGTCGTCATCGTCTTCCCAGTCTATCGCATTGTGGGAGATAAATCCAGGCGATCAGTTGTGATTGTATATTGTCGCGTTCTTCAGATGCATACCGACAACTCAGTATCACTCTGTGGCACAGCAGCTAGGATGCTTACCGACTATGCACACATGATCTGGGGTTCGATTCCCGGCTGACGCACATCTTTTATAATTCATGTATAATCCCCATCCAGGCATTAATGAAAACAAAACACGTAGATCAGCGAAGAGTCCGTTTTCGGCGAATTCATTTTCTTAGCTGTACAATAAGTTTATCAAACAAAAATACAATTGGTTATGGTTATTTAAACTAAACAGGTGAAGATTGGTAATTGGAGTTACGTAATACAAAATCAGTCAAGAAAATTAGGTGTTAGTGAAATTAGGGTAGTAACAAAGGTGATGAGTTGTCGAAACCAGTTCTTAAAAGAAGTTATGTAATAATATGAATAGTTTGATGAGTGAGTTTTACTCAGGATGCACATAGGAACAAAGTAGATAATACGAAATTACGTAAGAGTTCTAAATGAATACAAGAATTATAAGCAATTAAAGAACAGGCAAAGAAACAAAATTAAGTCATCAAAATCAAAAAATCAAATCAAATCAAAAAAGTTGTTACCAAGACAGTAGAAGTGGTTGAGTAATCCCCCTTTGTATGCACAGCTCCGGTTTTTCTATGTGAATGGGCGGCCAGACCTTCAGCGATACAAAGAAAACGAAACCGTATTACCTTTGGTAGGTTATTCTTGACTCTATAGATTACTTTGAAGGAGGAGGCGTTTGTTGAAATGGAATGATCAGTGTTAACCAGGTGTTCAATTATCACACTCCTTATAACACCACTTTTACCTTTTCGCAACCATGCTGGCTGGATAGTGTTCTTGAATCCTCTTGGACAGGGTGCGCGTCGAACGACCGATGTACCTGGCTCCACAGCAGCAGGTGAACTGATATACGCACATAGAAGTGGTCAGATGCGGGATCTTGTTTTTGGTGCTTCTGCAGATCAGTGGGCGACTGGAGAAGATTATTCTTGGCGTTGCTGCAAAGAATGTTCTTCTCAGAGATGATGTGATCCTTCTCTTCACAATATCGCTTGTTAAATCTCCCTTGAAATCCAAGTTCATGCAGAGTTTCTTTTTTGGCGCAAGTGAAGTTTCATTTCTCCAAATTCTTGGTTTGATATTTTTGTCAATGAATCTTATTGCGTATCCACATTGGATGAAGATTTCTCTTTAAATATCTAGAAAATCAGAACTACAGATGCGTCGGATGTGGGTGGCAAGTGATTTAATTAAATTTCGCTTCTGTTGAATGGGTACTCAGCTATAGAAGCTTGTTATTTGACCATTCCAAGTAGCTTTTCTATGGATCGATCTTCTTAGGCTCCCATCAGTTCTTCTTGTTAGTTCTACATCAAGAAACGGAATTTTTGACTCGTTTTCCATTTGCTGGATGGCAACAGTTAAATGTCTTCAGCAGTAGATTGGGGTCATTGTTGTTGTCACAAATAATGAATATGTCGTCTACGTATCTTTTATAATTATTCAGACTACACTTGTGATAGTATACTCATCTCTCCTTTATTTATGTTTCTGTTTTTTTATTCCACAGATGATTTAGTCGTATCCAATGATGGATCAGATCCTTATGCTGAAGTGAAGGTAGGAAATCGATATAGGTGAGGTTTATGAAAAAAAAACATCCTAACAACTATTATATATATATATATGTGTATATTTATAACTTTGGTTTTGTGGTTGTCTATGTAATTCCATATCTGTTTGTTTATTGGATATATCATACACATAAACACATGCACACACACACACAGTGAAACAGTTTTATTGTTTACCGGATAGATAACGAGATTTCGAACGCACAATTCACTATTCATAATCATATCATCAACTGTAACTACACACAACATCAAAACCTGGTTTTTTTTATAGATCTCGTTATTCCTCGCCTTTTTTTATCACTAATGATAATAATAAAATTTTTCAGATATCTAAGCCAGATGAGGTCAAATACATAGGTCGAAGTTGTAGAATTATTATTTTCATTATTATTCTTCCCTTCGGCTCCCAGTGGAACATAGGGCTTCAACTTCACGTCTCCACTTGCTTCTGTCTTCTGCTGTACTTTTCACTTGCATCCATCTTAATCCATACTGTTTCAACTCTTCTTCACACGGTCTCCTCCATGTCACCCTTGGACGTCCGACTCGCCGCTTCCCTTTCGGGTTCCACTCGAGCGTTGGCCTGACGCGCGATGTCACCCAGTGGCCTCCTCAGCTCAGCGAGTGTCCAATCCATCTCCACTTTCTCCTGCATATTTGTTGGGCGGCGATTGGTTCCTGTTTTATTTGTTCCCATAGTTTCTTGTTGGTGATTCTTTCCGGCGGCCATCTGATCTTGAGTATAGAGCCAGCGAAGACAGTTGTTGATAAAGGTCTGCAACAGGCTGTTAGAAATAAATATTCTTTGTGACCCGCCAAGTTTCTGATCCATCCGTATAGAAGAAGTGACTGACTTGACGTTTGTATTGAAAATCCGAATCATTTTGTTGTTGATGCAGGCTGAGTGACGAAGATTTCCAGATTGGTTTCATGATGTGTGACGAATGTGTTTCTCGCCTTTCCGATTCTCGATTTGACATCGTCGTCCGTTCCGTGTGCCTGTATTTTTGACAATGCTCCCTAGATAAGTGAAAGAAGTAACCTCTTTCAAATCCCTCCCGTTGATGGTGATTGGCGGTGGATGTTTCTGCTGATGTTGTTGTTGTTGGGTGGTTGGTTATTTTCATGACCTCCGTCTTGTTTATGTTCACCTGCTGCTTCTTCGAGCACTTTGTCGGTTTTCGCTTGTAAGTCTTCGATTTTGTGTGGCATCAAAGACAAATCATCGACGCGCGAAATCCAGGTCTTCTAGGTTCTTCACGTTGGTCCAGGATATCCCTGTCTTATGAGTGAAACACCAAAATCTAGCACAAGATCTAAAATCTCCCCTTGGATGCGTTCTGTGAAGAGTCGTAATCAGGGACGAAACAGTTCTTCAATACCGGTTTTCAGTAACTCTCTAACTGTGTGATGTCACCTCATGATCAAACCTGTAGCCGATCACATCCTTGTAAACTAACGGCTGGCTATATACAGGAATTTATCTGGATTTTGTTGTGAGAATTCATGACCACCGGTGTTCACCAAGTCACATAAAATAATAGTTATTCGCTGATAACCTTGGCTGTTGGCTGCGCCAATATAATATATCACGAATTGGCTGGAGTTGGAATTCATTGGCTTATTGGATTGGTTCCCAGTGGTCTACGAGATCAGCTTGTAACGTGAAGTTTGTAGGTTCGAATTGCAGTGGATGCGTACTGATGAAGAGTCCCAAGTCAAATCTAAACACCCGTGACCCTACTAGGGATCCAAGGCGGGATCGTCAGCTTACGAAACCTTTAACATCTAGATTAGTTGACCCTGACAAGATAAAAAAAATCTAGAAAGTAGCTCAGTTATATATCTATAACGCTACATGCAATTACACACAACCAAATAATACGATGGGACATGGAGAGAGACAGTCTTGAATATACATTTCTAACCCCCTAATTACACAATATGTAAATCTTCCCAATAAATATGATGCTACTTTGTTTGAGTTTTATCCGTCCACCCCCTGTTTATTATGACATTTTAATTCCTGATTGTAATTTTATTAATTTTACCCTTAACCGGAAATTATTCTTAATTCCATTTAACACTGATTATAAATGCCCATTAAAATCCCTTCAAAAAAAATGTTTACTGAACGAACAACGAATATTCTTTTCGATAACCTGCTCTTCATCATCAGGTTCTACAGTTATATGCATCCATAACAGTGAACGAATTAGTCACCGGTCACTTCTGATTGTATCTACTAGTTGAAATACTCTTGTAGTGGAGTGAGTTATATTGGTGTTGTTGCTTTAAGAACTTGATTTTTCGTGCTCGCTCGGGACATACCTACCAGTGTGGTGTGGTTAAATAAAGGTGTAGTGAGAAGCATTAATAGCTGAATTTTAGAACATCTGGCCATAAAGATGATGGGGAGGATTCTTCAATGATGGCTTACCATCATCTATTGCGTACCAAATAAATTGAAAAAAAGCATCCAGAGGTACCCACAACTCCAAACAGCAGAGGTTATCGCAATTCGCCCGAAACAACCGGTGCTATTGTAACAACAGAACACAAGGGCCAGGCAACAGATCAGTTTTATTACGAAAACCAACAGGTATTTATATGTATTTTACGTACATTAATAAGGCTCTGCCCGCAGAAAGAAGGCGGTCTTCTGATTGGTTGTTTGCAAACAAACGCAGTCTTCTGCTTTCTCGTTTTCGATATTTCTCGGAAATGCGAGCCACTCGTCTGCGAATCATATTTGTCCACGTCTAGGTCAGCTGTGATCG